TCAGAACCATTGAACCATATCTTTAAAAAGCTTGGAGCACTGGGGAACTACGAGAGAATTGGAAAAGAACTGATGTGGTTCCTATCTTCAAAAAGAAAAAAACAGTCCCAGGAAACTACAGACCAACCAGTCCTTAGGAATTTACTGGAAATGATGATGATGATGATGATGATGATAATGATAATGATAAAGCAGCTGACCAAAAGCTTACTTGGAATTGGCTAAGATCAGGCATACTGAAACAATAAATTGAAGGCTTTATTTTGGCTGCTCAAGAACAAGCCTTAGGCACAAATTACATGAAGGCAAAGATTCAGCATGTCACTACCAACAGCAAATGCCGCCTCTGTAATGAGAAAGATGAAACAGTTGACCATTTAATCAGTGGATGTAGCAAAATTTCACAAACTGACTACTTAGAATGCCACAACCGAGTTGCTAAAATCATTCACTGGAAACTATGGCAAACATTTGGATTTGAGTATAGTAACAACTACTGGGAACATCAGGTTGAGAAAGTTCTGGAGAATGAAAAAGTCAAGATCTTGTGGGACTTCAGAATTCAGACGGACAGGCATTTGGCCCACAACACGCCTGACATAACAATAGTTGAGAAGAAAAGGATTTGGTTCATTGACATTGCAGTACCTGGTGATGCACTAATTGTAGACATGCAGCAAGAAAAAATCACAAAGTATTGGGACTTACAAATTGAAGTTGAGTGACCTTGGAAAAAGAAATCATGTGTTATCCCAATTGTAATTGGAGCCCTTGGAGCAATACCTAAAGGGCTGCCTCGCTATTTGGAAATCCTGAACATACCAGACTTAAATACCCTGATTTTACAAAAAACCACCCTACTTGAAACAGCTTATATCCTTCGACGCTACCTGAACAGTTCCTAGGTCCTTGGTTAGGACTCGAGCTGATGAGCTACCAACCAGTCCCAAAGGCTGTGAATCTCACAAAAGATATAATAATAATAATAATAATAATAATAATAATAATAATAATAAGTGAATATCTAGAAACAACTAAAGTTATAACTGGTAGCCAGCACAGATTTGTTAAAAATAGATCATGCCAAACCAATCTTATTTCATTCTTTGATAAAGTGACTAAATTAGTAGACCAGTGAAATGCTGTGGACATAGTATATTTAGACTTCAGCATGGCATTTGACAAAGTAGACCACAACCTACTTCTTGGTAAGCTAGAAAAATGTGCGATAGACAACATCACCACCAGATGGATTTGTAGCTGGCTGACAAGTCATACCAACAACAAACACACCAACAACAGCCAAGCTTCCTACAACTGGCCCCAATCCATTGTGTTCACAACCTTTTCACAGAAAAAGAAGTGCAAGATCTATTACACAGACAAAAGCCAGGAAAAGCACCAGTGCCAGAAAAGATAACTCCTTCTTGCTTAAAAGTCTGTGCTGACCAATTGGCCCCCATCTTCACCCAAATCTTCAATAGATCACTAGAGAAGTGCTGTGTTCCTTCCTGCTTCAAACGCTCTACTATCATCCCAGTGCCAAAGAAACCCTCCATCAAGGAACTGAATGAGTACAGACCAGTTGCTCTAACATCTGTAGTTATGAAAATCTTTGAAAGGCTTGTGCTGTCCCACCTGAAAACCATCACGGATCCGCTGTTAGATCCCATGCAGTTTACATACTGAGCAAATAGATCGACAGATGATGCTGTTAACATGGCTCTGCATTACATCCTACAACTCCTTGAATCTCCAAATACCTATGCAAGGGTCATCTTTGTAGACTTCAGTTCAGAATTCAATACCATCATTCCAGACACTCTTCTAAGTATATTAAACCAACTAGCAGTACCTGAACATGCTTATAAGTGGATCATAAGCTTCCTAACAGACAGGAAGCAGCAGGTGAAGCTAGGCAGAATCATATCCGATACCTGTACAATCAACACAGGGGCCTCCCAAGGCTGTGTGCTATCTCCACTTCTCCCTATATATCAATGACTGCATCTCAAATGATCCATCTGTTAAAATACTGAAGTTTGCTAATGACAGAACAGCGATTGGTCTCATTTGAGACAACAACAAATCTGCATACAGACAGGAGGTTATACAACTTGCCTCGTGGTGTAACTGGAACAATCTGGAACTGAACACACTCAAAACCATAGAAATGGTGGTAGACTTTAGAAGAAACCCTCCCATGCTACCACCTCTTACAATACTAGACAACACAGTATCAACAGTAGAGACCTTCAAATTTCTAGGTTCTACTATATCACATGACCTAAAATGGACACCTAACATTAAAAATGTCATCAAAAAAGCACAACAAAGAATGTTTTGTCTGCGCCAACTCAGAAAGCTCAAACTGCCCAAGAAGCTGCTGATACAGTTCTACAGAGGAATTATTGAGTCTGTCATCTGCACCTCTATAACTGTCTGGTTTGGTTCTGCAACCCAGCAGGACAGACACAGACTTCAGAGGATAATTACTACCCACCTGCCTTCAATCAAGGACCTGTATACTGCACGAGTCAAAAAGAGGGCTGTGAAAATATTTACAGACCCCTCACATCCCAGACATAAACTGTTTCAACTCCTTCCCTCAAAACAACGCTATAGAACACTGCACACCAGAACAACTAGACACAAGAAGTTTTTTCCCGAAAGCCACCACTCTGCTAAACAAATAATTCCCTCAACACTGTTCAACTATTACAAAGTCTGCACTACTATTACTGTTAATCTTGTCATCACTCCTTATCACCCATCCCCTCCCACTTGTGACTGTATGACTGTAACTTTGTCGCTTGTATCCTTACGATCTATATTGATTGTTTCCTAGTATGATTTGATTGCTTATTGTACCCTATGACTATCATTAAGTGTCATACCTTATGATTCTCGACTCTTGATGAATGTATCTTTTATTTTATGTATACTGAAAGTATTTACAACAAGACAAATTCCTTGTGTGTCCAATCACACTTGGCCAATAAAGTATTCTATCTATTCTATCTATCTATCAATGAGTATTCCTTAATGGTAACACATCCACATGGAGGGAAGTAAGCAGTGGAGTACCACAAGGTCCTGTCTTAGGCCCAGTACTCTTCAATATCTTCATAAATGACTTAGATGAGGGAATAGGAGGAGAACTCATCAAATTTGCAGATGACACTAAACTGGCAGGAACAGCCAACAGCCCAAAAGATAAGCTCAGGACCCCAAAAGATATTAACAGACTTGAACAATGGGCCCTATCCAACAAAATAAAATTTAATGTACACATGAGCAGAAAAAAACAAAGGTACAAGTAGAGATTAGGTCAGTGTTGGTGAACCCTTTTGCCACCGCGTGCGTGCGTGTGTGCATGCCGGAAACCAGAAGAGCAGCTGCCTGGCATATGCCGGGGAAAAAAGATCTTCTGGTTTCCGGTGTTTGCATCCATGTTGAGTACCTGGTCCTCTCGTTCCTTGAGCACTTTAGCTTCTGCATTTCATTCACTTACTTAGTCTGATTTGTGGTTGCACCAGTTTTCCAAAACCTTCTCAACTTGATGTTAATAATAGATTTTACTACATTTAAATTCAAATGTCTGGCAAAGTTTCTAATAAATAATTCTGGCAATTAGGTCATGACACTGCTTGTGGTCAACATGTGAAATTTTGCTGTTGCCACTGATCAAATAGTCAAATGCTTCATCTTTTTTTTCTTTTACTACAAAGGCAATCTTTCCTCTTATTTGAATTTTCGCCTTCATGTAAAGCTTTTTCTTGAGCCACTAAAATAAAGCCTTCAGTTTCTTTCTTTAGCACTTCTGATCTTAATCAATTCTATTTGGTTTTTCTAAAAAAGCAAAGTTTTCCTTCTATATCCTTTAAGTATTGACCTTCCTTGTTCTTCCAATTAACAAATAAGTTTTCAGTTGTTTCTTTTTTATATTCAGCCTTCACCTTTGTGGTTTTTCAAGAGATTCCCTCGATTGGTTGCCTTTAGCGAGGGTTCTTGGCTCCTCTTAATTTACTCCTGTCTGAGCAGAAGGTTGGACCCTTCCAACTCTGTTATTCTGTTAGTCATTCAGGCCATGTGTTACTTCCTTCACAATTTATTTTGTTTATTATTTTATTCTGCATTTTCTGTAGTTTGGTATTTTGTCCGTGTGCTCATCACAGCATTTTAAAAAAATCTGACAGTATCTAAGCCTGATAATAAAGAAATATATCAAAAATATGTAGAACAGAAAAATTAGTATTTGCTTCATTAATTTGGTCATGGGTTTATAAATAGCTTAGCTATGAAATATGATGATAAAATATGATCCCAGTCATAGTGTTTGGAAATCATGGTTTATGGCTGGGTGTTGCATGTGACTTTTCAATAAATGACAGTAAAAATAAATCCAAGACTTGGCACAATACGAGAAATCAACTATTTTTCTTTTCTTTCCAATGGCATTGTTATATTTTGGTTTCCCGTAATTTGAAGAAAAAAATCATGTGAAAATTATAGTGGACCCCTATTCCCCCCCACTTTTTTTTTCATTTTGCTTGGGAAGGTTAGGAACTAAATTGGTACTTTTAATCTATTTGGATATGTTTATTGTTAGTGTTTGGGGATAAACCCCCTAGCAGAGTGTGCAGCAGCAGT